GAAGGAAGGAAGGAAGGAAGGAAGGAAGGAAGGAAGGAAGGAAGGAAGGAAAATAAAAATTAAGGCCTCTGCTTATTTGCATGGGAGCTGGAACAAACAACTTTTATATTTTGTACGTAAAAATCAAGTGTGGTGGTTAGGCAAACATTGGTAACTGCTGAGCAAATGGATTGTATTGATACAAAAGAAGTATTTTAAAAGGTCTCTTTCTTCCTTAGGCAGAGCTTCTCACACTTTTCCATCAAAGCACCCCCATGGTTTTTGAGAATCACATCTTATAGAAATCAGGGGTTTGGTTTAAAGTAACCCCTAACAATCACACATTTTTCCTTCTAAAAAGTTCATGCAAATTTTGCATTTTATTCCATAAAAAATCACAGTTTATTTCAACACTGACTGGAAGTAAAATTTTCCCCTGGGGTGTTACACCAAGTCTGTTCTATAGCCTTTACAGGTTTCTTGGTCTCTCTCCACACACCCAAATTTGCAGTATGCTTCTAGGGTTTTAGGGCAATCTTTGGCTTGTTCACGGGCTTCTCAATTTTGAGAAAATGATTGCAGAAATATGAAAGTACTAATTAGTGATATTTTTATGCAAAGGCTTTTTTTAAGGATTTTTGTTGTTGTTGTACCCTCTAGTTGAGGCAACACAACACATCCTTGTGTCTACCAGGAGGCCTTGTTTCTGAAGTGTGGATGCTGGCTTCTTGCTTCTGTTTCTGGCAGCTCTCTCTGTGTTTATCTAAATGCACTGTTCACCTAGATTCCTGGTTTTTAAGTGTATGCCTTATTTTAACTCATACAATCTCTGTGCACCCTGACTCTAGCTAGCTCTAAACAGTTTGGTGTGACTTTGATCATGGAGAGTCCAGAAAATTTCCTAGACAGCCTTCTCTGGTGTTTGCAACCTGCTGCTGCCAATCCTGCTTTGCCATTCCTTCTGTTCTAACTTCTCACCCAATACTCAGAATCCAGCACTATGTCCAGAAATAAACATACACAAAAGTAATACTTGACCATAAACTTGGGCAAGTTTTCTGGGCANCACCCAATACTCAGAATCCAGCACTATGTCCAGAAATAAACATACACAAAAGTAATACTTGACCATAAACTTTATATTCTGCTCTTGGGCTAAGGGAAATTGGGTAAAGAGCAATGAAATACCATTAGGATGTTTCAAGGTTAGCTTATGGCAATGATGTAAACAAAGTAGTAACTGCCAATTCTCAATGAATGAATCTTCTGTATAAGAAGTGTTTTGAAAATGAGACATTTTAACATTTTTATAAGTTGATATTTTGGTTGATGATTCTAAGCACTTTAAATTATTTTCAAAGCTATGACTAAACTTCAAACAGATTTACCAGTCATCAGATCGAGTGCCTTCTTCAAAGTGGATATTTCCTACAGTCTCCAACTCAATTGACAAAAATGGGATCAACAACCCACAACTTTTCTTCTTTCGCTTTACTTCAATACGATAAATTGCTTCAATTCTATTTAAGGGGGAAAAAACCTATTAAAATAATCTACAAATCACAACATTAAAATTCATGATTGATTTTTTTAAAAAGCTGATGTTAAAATACAAGACAGTGTGGTGTTAATATTTAAACCATGTAAAAGACATTCTATTTTTGGCAGCTAAAATTACCTTAATGTTTGTTAACCTCAGAATAAGTGAAAGTTAGAAGACTCTCCTGGCTCCACCACTTGCTCTTAGATCTTAGACAAGTCACAACAGTTTTATGCTGCAGTTTCTCAGTAAAATGGCAATATTAATAGTACTTTTACCTGAATGGGCTTTTTTGAGGATTATATGCAAAATGCATGTAAAGCTATTAGCAAAGAGTTTGGCACAGAGTAAGAACTCAATAAATGTTTGTTATTATTTTGTTTGCATTATTATAGGACAAACTAACTTAGCCACTTGGTGCCCCAGTAAATTAAAAAAAAAAAAGAAATCACAGTACTTACTAAGTCTTCTTGCTTTATACTTCTAGTTAATATTCAACCTGAGTTTGTTTCTACATTATTCCAGACAACTGTGTATATGCTTTGCCCAGTCTCTTCTATGCCATGAGCCTTTGCACCAGTAGCAGTTAATGTTAAAAACAAACAAACACAAAACTAATGTTTTTAGAGTAGTGATGTGACAGGAAGCCATTCAGAGGAAGTTCACTGTTCCTAATTAAGCATTGCCTCTATAAAAAAAAACTATATTCCAGCTTGCTCTGGCCCGTGTGCTCAGTTGGTGGAGCGTCATCCCATGCACCAAAAGGTTGCCGGTTTGATTCTGCTCAGGGCACATGCCTGGGTTGTGGGTTCATTCCTTGGGTCTGCGAGGGAGGCAACCGATAGATGTCTTTCTGTCTCTCTGTCTCTCTTCTCTCCCTCCCTCTCTTCTCTTTCCTCTCTCTCTAAAGTCAATATAAACATGTTTGGAAAAACCTATATGCCAGCTTTGAACCAATGATGCCTATATCTCTACTAGGAAACACATTTCATGATTTACTTAATACTATAATTCTTTCCACTCCTGAAGAAGGGCACTGAGCTCGACTGATGGATCAGAACCTTCTATTCTCTCATTTCAAATTTGAACAACTAGATAATTCATTAAACATACTCATCTAGTTTTTTGTTCCAGAATGTTACTCTTTCATTCAAGGCATTGAGTTTGGTCAGTATCTTCTGCTGAAGGCTTGGTTCTTCTGTAACAGTCTCAGAGATCTTTGATATTTCAAGCTTGGTTACTTTATTGTTACTGGATCTTTCATTTTGTCCTTTGCTGGATCCCTTGAGTTCAGTCAGCTCCCGTTCCAACTGTTGAAATCAATGTACCAGATAGCAAAATTTTTTAGTGGACTCTATTAAAAATATAGTTAATTTAAATCAACAAAGTAGAAATCTAGGTAATAAATAGGCCAAACTTCATAAAAAACAGGGCTAGCATGTGATTACAGCTTTGGTATGAATTCAGTCAGCCAGTTTCTTTTGACTAAGGGAAATACAATCTTAAATATTCCAAATGTGGCAATTCTCTCAACTGAAAATGAGAAAAGCAAAGAAATTGGTTTTTAAATATTACTGATAAGTTTGCTTCTATTAAAGCCAAAGTAAAATAATAAATGTTTTGGTATAAATATTTAAACTTCAAATAATGTGAACTTTGTCACACTTACTTTTAAAATTTTCAATATTTTTTCAACTACTTTGGTATTCTGGGAAAAAAATCATAAAAATACACAAAAGCGCGCGCGCACANGAAAAAAATCATAAAAATACACAAAAGCGCGCACACACACACACACACACACACACAGTGTCCCCCCCAAATGTATATAAACTTTAACAGCTGATAGCTCAATTTTGAAAATGAAATGTATTTTAATAAACGGTGCCTTTATAATTATTCAAAGTGTGTGTATACATTTTTTGGGACATCCTATACATATATATGGGTATAAATTTTCCCATTTGTCTCAGTCTCCTATATGGCTCAATATAGCAATATCTTTATTTAAAACTTTGATATTTTGTTTTGTTGTTGTTCATAATGAACTTTTTGCATTGTTTGCATTTTGTAAAGTATTGTATTAAATATGATTTATCTGAGGTTTGGGGCCCTTCCTTAAATTTTGGGCTCAGGGTGAGCACATAATTTGCCTTACTCCAATCCTAGCCTTGTAGGAATTCATTATAAATTATACTGTGCACACAGAGGTGTATATAAATAGAAATTTATTAATTTTTTGCATTGCCTCTCTATAATGGCTGTATCCAGCTGTTAAAAAAATAAATTAAGCATATTTATAAAAATGCCTGTGGTTTATATTCTGTGGCTGTTATTTTTCACATTTGCAGGTTTTATTTAATACATGCATCTGTACATAAAAATGGCAAATACAAAATGATTTCCATATAGTGGATCTCCTGTGATGTTTATAAAAAAATAATTTAAATTTTGTTAATGTTTTACTCTAAGAATATCTTTCTGACTATAATATGAATTTAAACCTGTTCGTTTTAGAAAGAGTATTAAATATATTTTTAAAACTTGATTTTTAATGGCTATATGCTAATCTAACTTAAGAATAAGTAATTCTTCCTCATTAAACATTTAGGTAATTTTCATTTTTTTTGTTATTAATAGTGTAGTGATGAATATTCTTACATATAAATATATATCCAAATTTTTAGAATAGAATGTTAAAAGTAGATTTACTGGGACAAAGGCCATGAGCATTTTTAGGCTGTTACTATATATGACCCAATTATGCTTCCATCAGTGGTGTGATAGTGTCATTCCCATCTTTACCAGGCTGAGTACTATCGTGTGTTAAGCTTTGACAGTTTTACAGGTGAAAATGGTTACTTGTTTTCTTAATTCACATTCAGAGGTTAATAATCAGGTTGAGCTTCTGTCAAATATTTATTAGTCAATTTGTCACTTTTTATTTCTTCTTTTGTAAAATGACAGTTTATATACTTTGATCAATTTTTCTAATTAGACATTTACCTTTTTTCTTGTTTTATTTATGGGTACATTTATACTAAGGATATCATGTTTGTCCGTCGTGTTTGTTGAAAACAATTTTTTCAGATTGTCATTTGTTATTTTCATTAATTATGCTTTTTAGTACAAAAACATTTTACCTTCTTTTTTCAATCAAATCTACATTCTGTTCCTTTGTGGTTTCTTAGCATTTCTTTTATTTGGCAGGCTGAGTTCAGTTAAATCTATATAGTCTCCAGTTTTTTCATGTTTTCATAGTTACATTTAAATATTTTATCCCCATTGGTGTTTACTTGGGTAAAATGTGAATTAAGGATCCAATTTCCCTACCCCTGGGTAATTTAACTAGTTTTGTAGCACCATTTGTTGAGTAACCCATTATTTTCTCTTACTTAAAAATATATAGTTCTTTTATATACAAAGTTCTGTTTTGAGGGAAATAATCCATAATTTTTCAGGATCTACTTTTAGTAAAGGAAATCTAATTTATTCTAAATAAGAAAGCACACACAATATAACTACTAAAGAATAGCTTGGTATAAAGTTCCTACCTTGTTGTATACCTTAATAATATTAGTAATGAGATTTTTCATCTCTGTAGACAAGAAAATGAATTTTGAGCACAACCTACTGGTGTCTAATAAAAATGATGCTAAAATAAGTCTAACAGATCTCTATAACTCTGAATCATAATGAATTAATTACTTAAAATTTTTTGTATAATAAAAAGTATNTGTCTAATAAAAATGATGCTAAAATAAGTCTAACAGATCTCTATAACTCTGAATCATAATGAATTAATTACTTAAAATTTTTTGTATATTAAAAATTATTTTTTGTTAAAAAATTGAAATTTTAATTTTTATATATAAAGCCTATACCTTTTATGAACTGTAGAGTTCTAAGTGCAGAATGAAATTTAGTTAAAAACCTGAAATTAACACATTTTGGGAACAAGCTTGTCTTGAAACTCAGTATTAATTTTAAAAATATAGGGNACCTTTTATGAACTGTAGAGTTCTAAGTGCAGAATGAAATTTAGTTAAAAACCTGAAATTAACACATTTTGGGAACAAGCTTGTCTTGAAACTCAGTATTAATTTTACAAATATAGGGGTGTGTGTNGAAATTAACACATTTTGGGAACAAGCTTGTCTTGAAACTCAGTATTAATTTTAAAAATATAGGGGTGTGTGTGTGTGTGTGTGTGTGTGTGTGTAGATATATATACGATGCTGCCTGGCCAGATAGGGCTCAGCGGTTGAGCACCAACCTAGGATCCAGGGGGCCGTGGTTCTATCCTCGGTCAGGGCACATGCCCGGGTTGTGGGCTCCATTCCCAGTTGGGGGCGTGCAGGAGGCAGCCGATCAGTGACTCTCTCATTATTGATGTTTCTCTCTCTCTCTCTCCCTCTCCCTTCCTCTTTCTGAAATCAATAAAGATATATTTAAAAAAAAAAAAAAATGCCATCTTATCCATCAGTTTTCTTAAGATGTAGCCACTGAAATTTTACAGTATTAAATCTTACATTTTTTTTCATAAAGCTGAATAATTTTATTCGTTCTTCTGGCAACTTCTGTAATTTACATTTTCGATCATTCAGTTTTTCAAGGTCTTCATTAAGATGCCTCTGAACGGTTTTTATACGCATATTGTAATACATGATTTTTTTCATTGCTGTGGTCTAAAAATGAGAAAAAAACAGATTAGCTGAAATAAAAACATTATAGGTAATTCTTAGCAGTATATTATGAGTACAATATGTTCTAAATAACAGTTTGAAAATTTTGCATGCTCAGTTACTATTAATGATGATGTTGAAATGATAATGGCTACACAGAGTTCTATATTTAAACTTAATAAGTAAAATATAAAATTCCAAGGATTTTGAGAATAATATTAAATTTTTTAATTTTTAAAATTCATCTTTATTGTTCAAAGTATTACAGATGTACTTTTTTCCTCCATTGATCCCCTCCACCCCATATTCACCCCACCCCCAGACCTTCCCCATGCCATTGTCTGTGTCCATAGGTTATGCTTATAAACATATAAGTTCTTTGATTAATCTCTCCCCACACCCTCCATCCCCACCTTCCCTCTGACATTCCTCAGTCTGTTCCATTCTTCTGTGTCTCTGGATCTATTTTGTTCATCAGTTTATTCTGTTTATTATATTCCACATATGATCTCACTCATATGAGGATAATATTTTAAATGTGAGGCATATTCAAATTTATTTCCAGGATTACAACATAAAGAGACTACAGATAGAATTCAGTTTACAAAACAGTATCATTTATCTAATGAGGCAGTACTACTAAAGCAAATATATAACTACATTTTTCCTATTTGATTAATTTAGGGAAAAGTAAAGAAATTAAGAATTAATAGCAAATGTAATATTAAATTCATTTTTAAAAAGCATGGCTAAGAATAGGATTTCATGTGTTTGGGTTTTTTACCAAATCTATAAAAGGATGCTCTAAATGAACTTGTTTTAGATTGAGCAAATGACTAAATTATCAGTCTAATCCAACCCAGGTAATTCTACAAAAGAGCAGACTCATATATCCAGCTACTTGTTGGACATCTCCCCTTGTATGTTCAAAAGATTGTTTGAAATTTATAAGCTTAAAATTAAACCGTAATTCTTCCTCCTAAATCTACTCCCCCCATACTCTTCCTCATCTTTTTCAGTTGTTCGGGCCAATGACTTGGACTTATTCTGTACTTCTTCCCACTGCACCTCACGTCTAGTCTACTAGCAAATCCAGATGAGTTCCATCTTCTAACTGCTACCAAAATCTGACTACTTGTTGCTACCACCGCTACTGAAATTGGGTAGGAAACCATCAACATCTCTCATCCAAGTTGCTGGAATTTAACTGGTCTCTCTGCTTTCACCTCTTTCCCTCTAATCCTCTATTCTTAGTCCAGTATCCAAAAGGATCCCTTTAAAACATGTCATCTCTTCATCCCTCTGCTTACAATTTTCCAGCGGCCCCCACCCCATCTCACTCATAGTGAAAGCAAAGTCTTTACAACATTCAACAGCGTCCCCTGCGTCCTGCGCCCCACCACTCCTGTTCTCCGTCCCGTACTTCCATCCCCCCACTCTCTCAGCTCCAGCCCTGCCAGTCTGGGTTCGGAATGAGGCATGCTCCTGCCTCAAGGTCTTTACACTTGCTGATCCCTGAACAGCTTGCTTCCTTAGTTCCTTCAGATCTCTGCTCGGATGTCACCTTAGCAAATCCGTTCCCAATAATTCTACATAAAACAGCCCAACACCCCGTCCTCTGCCCCTACCAACAACCCTGTTTCCTTCACCCGTTTCTTTTCTCCACAGCACCTGTCACCATCTGATATACTCATTGTTTCCTTATTCAGTTGCTTATTGTCTGTCCTCTCGCAGGAGAATGTGAGCTCCAAGAAAACAGGGAAATTTTTGCCTGTTTAGGTCACTCTCTATCTCTACTGTCTTGAACACTGCCTGGAATGTAATAGGTGTTAAATTTTTGTCAGACAAATGAACCAGCCAAGTAATTTCATGAAGCATATTTGCCCTGCTCACCTTTGCAGAAATAGCCTGATGTAAATAAAACTACAAAGAGGATAATGGAAATTTCAAAAATATGGTTGTCACTGCAAAATTTTGCTGTTGTTTAGACTTAACATTGTTAGAGAAGGCATTCTTCCTTGGCCCTTCAATGAAACCAAACATCTGCTTAATATTGCAAGGCAGTTTACTTCTTAGATTGGGGTGAGAGGGATAGTAATCACAGTTTTGGAAAAAAGAGAGAATGGGATTTGAGAATGCATTCTTAGACTAGCAAGAGAAGAGAAACAAGATAATAAAGACATTCTTTATCTATGTTGAAATGATGGATGAACCACAGGAAAGAATGGAAAGGGCCACATGTGGGGGCATCCACATGCTTGGAACATTCTACGTACTCAAAAGCTATTTATTGGATAGTTAACTAAATGAACAAATGGGACAGGGAGAGGTAGAACTATAATGTGGAAAGATTATTAATAAACATGGTAACTCCCTATGCACTCCATTATAAAATTATAGATCCTTTGGTGGCACATCAAAGTAGACCCTTTACTGGGAGGTTCACCATCACTGGCAGTCCTTCAATAGTTCTCTTCAAGATTTCAAAGATCATCAAGATTTTGGCAGTGTGGGTGGTTCCACTTATATTTCCAGGGAACCCCAAGTCATCTTGAATTAGATAAAATTGACCTAATCCTGGCATAGTACCATCCACCATGGATACTTTCTAATTTTGATACATAAAATTTCAAATATTTTATTTAGGCTTTATTAATGTTTATATATATAGCACTAGTTCAATTATTCTTAACACTGATAATTTTTCAGATTTCCTTTTAGTTTTGTATAAATTAAAATGTTTTTTAAAAAAATTATTTCACCTTTCAGTACTGTCATCAAAATTGAGGTCCTAGTACTAATTTTATTATTGGTATATGTTTTCGTGAAATATCCAGCTCACTGGGGCAAAAGGAGAATTGGTGACAAGAACTGACAGGAGAATACTACGTACCATATGTGACACAGCCAGAAAGAAGCAGTTTATTAAACTTAAATCACAGATACTTGATTAGAGATGCACTTACATCTGCCAGTTCCTTGATCGGCTTTGCTGACACATCATACGTGTCAAGTCTTTGAAGGCAAGGCAAGTGGTACAGCACATGTGTGGAATAATTACACAGCAGACAAACTGGGTTGGTTTTATATTGAGGATCATTCAGACATAAATCCTTTAAGCGACGAAGCCTGGTTAAGTTAGTAAGGTCCTAAAACAGCAGCAGTAATAATGTTTAATTAATTGCGACCGGCCATTTCCAAAGGAGCCTTTTCAACACTTGAGATGACCATAATGTAATGTAATACATTCTAATTATCTGCCTAAAAAGTTAAAGTGATTTAGATGGATAAAATGTTCTTGTCTAATGAAAAATACGCTAAATATATGTACATCATCAATAATTAAGTAGCAGACTCTAACTATGAGTGTAAATTGTACTGTTAGAAAAAGGCCAAAGAATATTTACTAAATCCTGTATTCCGCCTGCAACCTTGGAGCCAGTCACCTGAGCACATTTACTCTCTAGACGGTTCCTGCAGTGCTCAGCTCCTTTGTAACAGCGCCCCTCGTGCCTGTAGGTCTCCTACCCCTTCACCACCATTCCCCACACTGGCTGCCTACGAGCACAGCTCGCCATTTTCCTCCGCCTCCAGATTGGCTCTTGTCATCAAAGACTATGGGTCCCCTGCTCTATTACAATCACCATTAAGTTCCTAATTTTTAGTTGATTTTAAAGATATTTTTCCCCCTGTAAATTCCTTTTCTACCTATTAGGGACAGCTGAAACCTAGCTTTCTCCTGAGGTCTCGTTTTTCTCACAACCTGTAGAGGTGGAGGAGTTGATAATACACTTCCAGACTGTTTCTCCTTAACACCTTTTACCTGAAGCTTCAGTCATCTTTCCACTTGTCTTTATTTGGCATCTGGTCCTTGCTTCACCCTTCGTCTTGTTTCTTCCAACTTAAACCCTGACATTTTATGCTTTAGCCACATACTGAACAACTTGAAGTTTCAGAATGTACAGACCCGATCTTATCTTTGACCCTAACTCATGCTGCTGACGTTGAGTGGATTGGACTTCACCCCAATTTAACCTCTTAATCTGTCAAGGCTCAACCTAAAATTTATCTTCTCTGGGAGCCTTGTTTCATCTTCCAAGCTTGGGGTAGATGCTCCTCCTATGAACTCTTAGCCACTGGGCTTCCCTCTGTCATAGAATTTATCACACCCTACTGCCAATTACTTGTGCATCCACAAGTCTATAGATCAAGGGTCTATATGGGCTTTGGACCTAAGAATGGTGGTTACGTTTTTAAAGTGTTGGGGGGAAAAAAAGAACACATGACAGGGGCCATATGGGGCCTACACAGCCTAAAATATTTTCTACCTGGACTTTTACACAAAAAGTCTGGCAATTCCTGAGATAAACTCTTTGAGAGCAGGGTTTGTGTCCTGTTTAACACTGCATTCTCAGCACTCAGCATTTAGAACACAGTAGGCACTAAATAAATATGTGAATTGAATGGGATGATTATTACTTTCTTCCAACCTCCAAGATATCCTCATATTTTCCTCAATAATAGCATTACTAGGGTGGTTTCTGGAGTAGGAGGGTGCTGTGGTGGGGTTGCACTTGAAAGGATGCAATGCTAGTTAGAAGAGTCAGATCAGAGTTAAGGGAAATCTAAAGCAAAAGCCAGGAAACATTAGCTCTGAACATAAAGTACAAACAGAATGGGGAAACAAACAGTGAAGTCAGGCTGCTAGAGTAGAAAGTAAGACAGTTAGGTAGCCAGTGTGTCTCCAAACTCTCTCTGGACAAGTGAGAATTGTCCCTCACTCTGTTCCAGCCACACAGGAATTTTAGTTTCTTGAATTTGCTGTGCTCCTCTCCACCACTTAGGTCATTTCTCACTTTGTGCCAAGTGCTCTTTCTTCAGTAACTCCTACTCATGTTAGCTTAACATTCTCTTTCATAGCTCCCTCTGATTCTTCTGCTGGAATTGCTCAAGAATGCCCTTCCATTTCTCACCTCCGTGCCTTTGTGTGTGCTGTCTTCCCCCTCTCAGAATGCCTACCTGCCGCTGCCTGGAGGCACGCCCACAATGCCTGCTGACATTCCGTCAGCCTTTCAAGGGGTGACCATACCACATATTTCCTCTTGGTTTTGACCAAGAAAATAAAATTTTGTTTAAATATCTTTTTAAGGTGCTTATAACATTCTGCCTCATTCCATAGCTTTTTTGGTGTCTTATATTCTCTGAGTAAAAGAATGACTATTTTAATACTGATCAATTAATAATTATTTCTATAATAAATTTACTTATCTGTCTTCAGTACTGTCTAGAGGGAGTGCTGGAATATGCACCTTCAATCTGACAGTTAAAATTATGAATGCCATGCTTTCACCCACATTATATGCCATAAGCATGAACCCTTTTTATGTTTTTTCTCTTCCATTCAAGTAGTTGACAAATGTTTATTAAGATTTATTACATGTCAAGTACTGTTTTAAGCCTTGTGAATAAAGCAGTGAAGAAAACAGGTGAGGTTCCTGTATTCATGAAGTTTGTATTCTAATAAGGGATGTGGATCAGTGCTAAGAGGAAAAATAAAACAGGAAAGAGAGATGGGAGAGCTTCAGGGTGGGGAACGTAATGTAGCAGGGGTTTTGCTATTTTACTGAAATTGGACAAGGAAGGCATCACTAAGAATATCACGTCTGAACAAATTCCTGAAAGAAATGAGGAAATCAGCCATGAGGATACATGGGGGAAGATGATCCAGCAAGTGCAAAGGCCCTAACGTGAGTGTGTGCGAGGAACAGCGAGGAGACGAGAGCGGCTGGAAAGGAGTAAGCAAAGGGAAGAGTGGTAGAGCTGTGGTCAGACAGACAGTTGGGGGGCTAGATTATTTACAGTCTTCTGGGCCACTGTAACCACTGACTGACAGCTTTTACTCTGAAAGAGAGGAGAAGCCAAGGGAGGGTTTTGAGCAGAAGAATGATTTGATCTGACACGTTTTTGAAGGAACAGGCTGTTGTGTGAAGAACAGATTGATCATAGTGAAAGGGTTAGCACAGGGAGACCTGTTAGGAGGCTTTTTGTTGTTGCAATTACGCAGGTTAGAGATGGTGTCTTACACCAGGTCGATAGTGATGCAGGTGGTCAGAAAATGGTCAGACTCGACATATTGTGAAGGTAGAGCCAATAGAATTTGCTGATGGATTGAATGTGGAGTATGAAGGAATGGGGGAGTCAAAAGGACTTTACGTAAGAATTTTGGCTTAAGTTACTAGAAGAATGGAGGTGCTATTTAGAGAGGCGGAGAAGGGTGCAGCAGCAGAAGGTCTGGTGGAGGGGAAATCAGTTCGAGTTAGGATAGGAGATGTCTATAGTTTGGGGAGTTGTTAGGGAAAGTAGAGATACCAGTATAGGAGAAATAAGTGCATAAAAGATATTTAAAGTCATTAGACACGATGAGATTATTTACAGAGTGAATGCAGATAGAAATAAGAAAAGACGCCGGGACTGACCTGGGGCAGTCCATTTTGTGGATGCCAAGAAAGGATGAATAACCAGAAGAGGTATAGCTAGAAAGATCACAGGAAAACTAAGAAATTAGTACCTTAGAAGCCAAGTAAATAGCTATTGTTTGGTTTTAATAGTGTCAGATCATTCGAGTCAATTGAGTCAGGTAATTCTAAAATTTCCGGGAGTGTTGGGTAGTCCAAAACGATTAAATTATTTCTTAAAAGGGACTATTTAGTCCATTTTCTGCAATAAGATGGTTCATGATCCAGGTTGGTAAATAAAAATGTATTCCACTTAAACATACCTTGAAAGAAGATATTTGATTACCAGAGAGGTTTAATTTTTCCAGTTGTTCATTGGGATCAAGACATCGACCTTTAATTTAAAAAACAAGATGTAAGAAAATGAAATTTCTTGTTTTACTTCCTGTTCATATCCTGTCATATTTCTGAGTTGTACATGGGTATCATTTCTTGCATGTAAATAAGACTAACAGTAACACCATATAATTAGTAACCACTGATTTAGAATCATAGATTTAACAATGCTATGCAGAGATATACAAAAAAGTCTAAAGGAAAGAAATGTACTTTTTATACTGATAAAATATTATCTTACATTCCAAATGAAACAGTACATACCAATGCTGCTTATTAGATTTCCAGCAAGGTTGAGATCATTTAAATTCTTCAAAGTTTGCAAGCCCTAAAAATTTAGACAGTATATAATTTAGGAGAGATCACTAAAATCTATATTTATGAACCATCTGACCAACCTGGTTAGTTCTCCAGGTGCTCTGAACACTGCGCGCTGAGCGCAGAAGCCAGTGGCTGCCTCCATGAAGCCATCTTTGCTTCTCTGACCGGGGAGAGTGACTGCGAGGAGCGAGCAGAGGGCCGTGGGGAGGAAGCCAGGCAGCGGAGCAGGGCAGAGAGCACATCGCACAGAGTGTGTTTATACATAAACTTAGGCAAGTTACACATACAACTTCTGCAAACCTCTCTTTCTTTCTCTCTTTTTTTTTCTCTTTTTTACCTCCAAAGACGAAATAACACTTTACCTCTCAGGCTTGGTGGGAGTAGTAAAGAAAATAATGTGGAAGGAACTCTCTTTGTTAGTTCTTAACAATAGTTATTAAACTAATCATGAATATTTTGGTTCTTAAGCATAATATGATCTTGGACATTCTGGTTTAAACTCCATAGTCGTAATTAACTTTACATATGCAGTGAAATTATCTTACCTCAATATTTTTAATTGTATTGTGGTTCAGCCAAAGAACCTCCAGTCTCAATAATTTCTCTAAATTTTCTATTTTGGAAATTTTATTATAATATAAATACAGTTTTTCTAAATTTCTACATTCTCGAAGACCTCCAATTTTCTGTAAAAGAAAAAAAAAAAGACTGAATAGTGTTATAGCTTATTGTTGCCATAAATCCTTTTCATAAAGTAGATATTAGGTATATTTTCTTTTAAAAGTCAGATTTTATTGCAAAATCAATATCCAGCAAAATTAACTAAATTTTTTTAATCCTCACTCAAGGACATGTTCAGTGATTATTTTTAGAGAGAGAGAGAGAGAGGGACATCCATCCATTGCCTCCCACACATGCCCTGACCGGGAATCAAACCCACAACCTAGGTATGTGCCCTGACTGGGAATCGAACCCTTGACGTTTTAGTGCACAGGATGCTCCAACCAACTGAGCCACACCGGCTAGGGCTAACTGAATTTTTTAAAAGAAAAACATATAACCTCTCCACCTAAATACAACTATTTTCAATTTCATATTCTCTTTAAATTTAAATAAACTCTATACCTAATTTTATATAGTTATAATCATAATACCTATACAGCTTTGTGTTTTTTAACTTAAAACCATCTAAAATGTTTTCATAATTCTCAAATTATAATATTTAATAATTACAAAATCTTTCATGAAGTTTATAATCATTTTCTTTAAAATAACCCTATATGTGGCATATTTATATTTCAAAAATGTAATAAATAATACAGAAATAAATACTTCATGCATACAGTTGTTTTCTGTTGCAGAACAGGGATTACTGAGTCAAATGGTATGTACTTTTCTTTGGCTCTTCATACATCTTGCAGTATTGCTTTTCAATATAAGTGTTATAATTTTCACTCTACCAATAGTATCTAAGTGAACTGATTTCATTTCTAAGCAATAGGTATTATTTTGTCTGATTTGATTACTAAAATGTAGATATGTCTATGTTTTAACTCTAGTTTTTCCTGTGTATAGATCTATTTCTATCTTTTGCCCGTTTATCTATTTTTGTTTTGTTTGTTTTACTGGATAAAAGTTTTATTGCAATTCATCATGTATGGT